AATAAATGCTTCACATCTCAGTATTTATACCTATATTGTTTAAACCAGAGTGACATAGATTGCTGGTGGCCCAAAATTTTCCAGTATGGCTCTCCACTTGTGATGTTTCATGAAACGGTTTCTTTCCCCCTAGAAATTGACGGGGAGAAGAATTTTTAGGAACAGCTAAGATCCAAATGCCTTTCAAACGAAACATCCTTCGCGTCAAACACTAATTAAACTAACAACATGACTGAAACTCGTTTTCATGCGTTTTTGAACGCGTTTTATTTTCTATTGGCCCTATAACTGCTCTTTTGGTAGCGGTATTTCTTTGTAATATAGCAACATCACATTGCTATAGCACGAACTGAGGCAGTAATGTCGACTACGTGTACGTTTTAGTCTTAAAATTTTGCTATTTTATCTTGAATGAGCATAAATCTTCGCTAAGCAATAAGTTCTCTTTTGATGGGGCACAGAAGTACTAGGATATCCAACAAAATAAAACTGCAGCCAGAAAAAATTAAGTAGTACAACGTTTTTATATGGGGAAACTAATGCATGCATACATTTGAAAACGTTATTTCTCGTAGGAAGTGTAAAAAAGTTGTTTCAAGGTAATCTGGTATTATCAACTAAGTTGATAACGTAAATTGGCCACCAGAGTTTGAGAGCTGACGTTTCGAGCGTTAATCCTTCGTCAGAGCGAACTCTCACCGGTGGCCAATTTATTTTATCAACTCAGTTTCTAATACCAAATTACCTTGTTATACTCTCCCACCGACACAGCACCACAGATTCTTAAGAAACTACCCCCTTTATTAAAATTTTGCTGTTTATTTTGGTTAACGTATCTCATGAAGTTGTTTGTTTTGATGTAGATTTCGCCTCTTTTTATTAACCCAAGAGAGGAAATTTCCGATCGATAACTGCCATGCATGTCCGTCAGATTTAGGATTTCTCGGCCGACTTCTTTCGAAATGCTTTCACTCTAAAAAGGTCCTTTTTCCAAAATATGGATGCCGTTCAGAGGAAACTTGCAAATTTTGAGAGTTTGACAAGTGTTAAGTATTCTGGTGTTGATAGTCTTTCAAGGCCGGCTTTGTCGACAGCTCATTGTGTATCAGGTGAAACTTTCATCAATAATTGATTAATGGATGAATTACCTGCTGTAACGTTATCTTGTAAAATTGTTCATGCAAGTGTGTTATATTCCTGATACTCGCTGTCGAAGGAAATGTACCGTTACCCACCGTCTGCGATATTCTTCAGTGATTGGTAACTGCATGAGTTTTGTCGATTTTTCAAGTCGGTGCATATCTCCAGAAGACGTAGAGGTTTCAACAGAAGTGAGTTGTAATTACACTGTAACTAAATCTAACAAATTACCTCTCAGTTTTAATCTGTCATGCTAAAGAAAACTTTTTTGAAACTGAAAATTTTGGGGTGAAGAAACAGAATTTCGAAGCTTCATCTTCGTGTAAAGGCCTGTTCGCTCTTTCAGAGTCAGCAAGCGTAAATCTTTTACGCGCCCTATTTGTCTTATTTTTTGTTCGGATAAAGATGCAGAAGGCAGATTATTATGGTTTGGTCAATATTCAATCTATCAGGAAATTAGGAAATTACCGAAACGGAAAATGCTATCACAAGTTTCTTTCTGACAACGAAAAGCGTTTTAAAAATTAAGTAAAGGAGCCTTTTTAACACTTGAAACATAGATTGAATGCGATTTCAAGCGTGACATGTCAATGAATATTGATAGTGACTGATGCAGCTATTTTATCTTGCAGTAAATCATTATGTGCAGGTGCATTTGCTGTACGAATAAAGGAAGGACATTTATCGAAATTACCGCGCGAATATAGCTGAGGTCGTTGAGAAGCAGACAAAAATCCTTCAAATATCATCGTTTTGATTCAATTCTAGAATAGATTAGTCATTTCACATCGTGTTTTGCTTTTAAGAAGATTGTATTGAGATATTTAGGTCAGCTGAGTATAATGTCCACTTTTGTAGCCGCTTAAAGACACGATTCTTCAAACCAGCCAGAACTATATTGGATTTTGCAACACGTATGATTGATAAGTCATTTTACATCGTGATGTACTATTAAGAAGATGTTACTGAGTTATTTAGGTTAGCTGACGATAATGCCCGCTTCTGTAACAGCTTAAAGACACGTTCCTTCAAAAAATTTGCCTAAAAAACTGACCTAAACAAATAATAACAAACCAGCTTCAACGTTCAGCGTTTTAAGGCTCAGAGTCACCTAATTAGAAGTCTTGCGTTTGTAAACGCCCTCTAGTGGCGGAAGAGTTCCCACACAACACACAGAGAAAAAAATTTTTTAAGTGTATTTTATCAGCGATAAGGTTTGTATTTTTCACTTTTCCTCTCTTAGCATGCTTCCGTCATGGAGGCAAATTACGCGCTGTATAAATTTCCTGTTAGAAAAGGTTTCCCATTTCACTACCTATAATAGTGCACCAGATGAAAGTTCCGCAATCTTGGCAGCGCTCACACAAATTGCTTAGTAATAAAGGACAACTAGAAGTTATTGTTGTTGTTTTTCTCCACGATAAACAACCAAATCCCTTCACGACATTGGATCATCAAGGACTGAGTGTCCTTCCAGTTTGCGCTCTTTATAAGTTTGTAAGCTTATTATCAAAACGATGTTTTGGTGCTTAAATACATCCCTGCCTGAAATAAGTGGTTTTTGATAAGCGTTAGAAAGTTCTCCATGCATTTTTCCCAAGTTTTCGGAAGGCTTTGCTAATCTATCGCATGAACTTACGTTCATGAATATCTAAAATGGGTTGGTTTTCATGTTCATTATACGAATTTGGCCGTGTAGACTTGGTTTCTTTTCAGTCTTGTTCTGACAGATTTCTTTTTTTGACGAAAACGATCATCGAACTGCGGCTGATTTTTTTTTGTAGCAAGATTTTTTTAAATCATCAGACGCGTTGCCAATTAAATGAGAGCAATGCGTGAAAAGTGAGCAGGTAATGATATTGCCAAATTACAATTACAAATTGAGCAATGAAAAAGTGAAAAAAACTTAAACAATGCTGAAATTAGAAATAAGAGGTGATGAATTTTACGAAATTCGACTAACTGTTAAATTAGATTCAATATTTCTCTTTTGTAAGCGTAACGTCGTCGAAAGCTGTCTTCCTTCCTGAAATTTCATTACAAGGATCTACTTGCGCATTCATTTACATAGGCCTGGCGGTATAAATTATTCTAAAAAAACTATTTTTTAAGTTTTCAAGTGCCCGGATATTAAACAAAAAGCCTCAAAGAACTTTAAGAAGGACAACGATGCTGAGCGATAATCCTTTGGGTCATTAAATTGTGTCTTTTATAAAAAAATGAAGTAGCTGCGGTAACTACTTTAGTGTAAATGTGTTTGCTAACGTCGAGATGTTCCTGTCGTCCATTTCACATGTTGGAACAGCTGTTTGAGCTCATTGTAAATTAAAACTCCTTGGTTGACATTACAGCGAGAGGAAGACAGAAACACAATCTTTATTTGAAAAATAATCCCGACCGGGTGCGCAGTTCATTTCTGATGGCATCTGAAAGTTTCAAATCGCACTCAGGGTTTGTGAAATTAATTGATCTGTATTTGAACGAGGTTGTCAAGTCTCCACCTCGGCTGCTTCATGAGCTTCCTCGTTGCTAATTTAACTCCTCAAGCTTTTTGAAAGTTTGATTCCGTGTCGAGTTATAAGTTCAGGAAATGCATAGTATGTTCTGATTCTAGCTCGTTTTCTTTCTTTGTCTCCCTCTCTTATTTACACAGGAAGGAAAATACGACCATGGAAGTTCCAGAGAAAGGTACGAATTTTGAAGCTGATGATTATTATCCGCGTAGACCTCTTTTAAAGTCAAATTCTTAGATAGACCGGGAATCATTAGCGGAGTAATTAATGTACAGATGATGATTTAACTCTAAAAGAACGCTCGAAACAAGTATCATACGAAGTTGGTTAGCGTTAATTTATTTTAGCTACACCGAGACAAGGATTGAAGAAAATCAGGTTAAAAACTGCTTGAGGGTTCATCGGTTGCAAGAAGGTTTTATCGTGATGTTGGCTTCTTCTTTGCATAACATAATCACAAATTTACAAAATGTTATTTGTGGAGATAGAGAAACAGTATTACTCGCACGTTAAAACGTAAATTCGTTCTCAAAATAATAAAAATCTATTTCTGACAAGGGCGATAAAACTATAGAAATATTGTTTTGTTTTTCCTCATACAAAATAAAGGCTATGGTCGTTTCCTGCGGCGGACGATGTTTTTTCCAACAATATTTATAGGAAGTTATCAAACTTGACTGAATGCACCAAACTGGGACTATTATTTTGAGCGTGAAAATTAGTGAATTTATATGGGAGAAACTAAGTCTTCCTCAACACGCAGAACAGTGATCCTACCTACCGAATTTTGTGTACGTCACAGACAAAAGGAAAACTTGCTTTTCATAAATTATAAAGAGACCAATTATTTTTCAAGGAAAAATGTTTTGGTTTGCTCTGTTTCAGTGTTCGTGAGTAGAAGGAGGGCCAGTGTAATGGAAAGAAAGATGGAAGAAACATTTTGCAAAGATTTAAAGCGCGAACGGAGATCAGGAAGCGTAGCCGTGATGACAGAATCTTTCCAGAATTTGCCATCTGTTGTGAGTACTGAGTAAATTTATCAGTTCAAAGCCTAGAGGCGTTAAGCAAATCTCTCTACTGTGGCGCTGCATGCTTTTCTTTTCGTTGAGTTTACGAATACCACTTCACCGAAGTGGTTCAGCTATCATATGCCGTCCGTAAAAAGTGTTATCAATCTCGTAACGAACAGTACGTGAAACAATGCGTTCTCGATAAATAACGATGAGGAACGAAAAAATGGAATTTTTGATCAATAACTGGGAAACGTGTAATCGCCCTTCCGTTATAACAACCTCATGCATGAAGATAATTTGCTATGCTAAGCTAACCTACTTTAAAATGAATAAAGGGGGTAAGTTTCTGAAGAAACTGTGGTACTGCGCTTATCTGGGGGAATACAAGAACTGAGTTAATAATGTATTGTTATTAGAAATCCTCCACAGAGGTCAATTTACATTATTGAATCAAAAATGAGTCAGCAGATCTTAATATAATTATTTTGACACATGTTTGTACCTCAACTATTAAGTAGCGACTGTCTCTATCCCAAAGAAAGGTACAACCCGCGGAAATAGGATTCTTTTACAGTCCATGCGACAGGTATTCCCCAACCCCTACTCCTTCTTGTAAAAGCCATGGCATAAGCCTCTAAAGGAGCACTTTATTACTATTGTAGTCTGTCACTATGAACCAGCATAAATTTGCTATACACCGTAAACACCAAAAATATCCATAATTTGTATGTTGCGTTTTGAACAGCATCGTTACTGAACAGTTGTGAACGCTTAAGGTAGAATAGGTCTTTAACTTCGACGAACGACGAAGAGAATTTTGTTTGGTTTCGTTTCGTTTCGCGTGCGTGAGTGTCGTCATAATCATATGCAATTTTGAGTGCAGTTTAATTTGAAATGATTAAAAACACCAATTTTCATGCAACCCAGGTAGATTTGTATCAGTTATTTTTCATTTCTTTGTGTTTATTGAAAAAATATTGAGGTAAAGGGGTATCCTCCACTTTTCACTAAAGCCGAGTATTCTCTGACACTACTTCTATATTAGTCCAGGTTTGTCGGTGTTTGAATTGAAATCTGTTTCCCTTAAAATTTTTTTCACTCAAGTCGTGTATCCTCTGAAACTATTTCTTTGCTTTCCTGGTTTATCGATGTATTAAATGAAATCTGTTGCCCTTATTGGCTTGGTCTCTACAGAATCGAGACGGTTTTTGGCTGATACGTCTTTCCACGTGTCGACATCACGGTGCGCATGTCCGATCGTAGACTAAAATTTTGGGTGTGAAGCTTCACTTATAAGATTCAAATACTGGCTAAATTTTCCAGTTCTTTTACTGAACAAACACTTCTTTTGTTTAGCTTAAGTGTGCAACTCTCTTTTTAAAATCTCCAGGATTAAACAAAATTTTGTAATACAACGAAAATTGCAAATATTACAACATTAAAAGTTGCTTTTAGCCTAACGAAAATTGACAAGGGTTTTGCTCTTTTATCAATTTTCACGATTTTAGCAAGTAAAGTTGTGCTGAATGGCTGAATTTCACGGAGGACTAGGACTGATAACAAAAGAACAACAGTCATCTTTTGAAAAGAAAATAACCACAAACACAAAATTTTGTGGCCCCCTTGATGAAAACTCGCCAAAAAGACACAACTTTCTACGTTTTGTATTCGGTTTCCGTCAGTTGTGGAAAGAAGCGTCCTTTTAGCTAACGCAGGCGACGCGGAAGCGGGCACAACCAACTTTATTTGCAGTGCTTGCTCTCAGTTAATATATAATTTAAAAAGAGCATTCCTTTCAGAAATATCTCCAACTGCGTTTGCTTGTCCGCCAAGACTATTTCTAAAGATAACAGCATGAGTCTTCGCTGGCAGCTGCCTTGTTGGCTGTAAGTCTCCTTGGAAACTTCACGGTTATTCTCTCCGCAAATGATTACTTTATTGACGACGACTGGACGAAATGGCGTTTTCAATTAAATTCAAAAGTGCGAGAAAAACGATTGCCAATGAATTTCTGTTATCGGCTGAGTTGTTTGCACGTTGAAGAAAGAAAAGTGCAATGAGCGAGCTTTCAACGAAAGAAACCACTTTATTCGAAGCTGAGGAAAACGATGAGGTTTGTATTTCAATATTAATGCAGAAAATTTTTATTGCATTATTATTATCCACTGTCAATGAGATCTGGCTAAAAGCAAAACATGATCAGTTTTGTTAAGCAATATATATAGAACAGCCCATCTACAATTAAGTGTTTATGTTACAGACATCATCTCGCGTGAGCTAAGTACTATTTAGCAGATTATTCTTTGTAGCATCATCATGATGTGGTTCAGGATACATTTTCTGAGCGTGCAACATTTTGTAGCCTAACTATTGATTTCCGTGAAGTGAAAATGCATTTTGAAAATTGCAGGAAGAATTACCACGAAGTAAATTAATCCTTTGCTTCTGACTGTCATTGAAATCAGATTTAACACTTAACACTACCGATTAAACTGCTCAGACTCTAGGTCATAATTAGTTGATTGAATGCTGTTGTGCTATAAAGCTGATTTCGAATTTCACATCGAGGCCTCAATGTTTACGACAGGTTTTTTCCTGTCTTTTTCTGTTGGTCCTGTTCGCTTTTGTAATCTCAGTTTTGGAAGCAGCCTTTGTTGATGAAGCAACAATTTTAAGGATAGAGAATGAGTTAAAGAGAGTTTTTAATTATCTCTAATCTTCGGAGCTCTTGAGAAATAATTGACTATGTTCTTCTGTTTATGATTTCTTAAACTGCTCTGTTCTGTATCAACACCTTCCCTCTTGTACCGACTGTTTCAAAGATTGCTTTTATTTGCTCATTTCTTTAGTTATTATACTTAGCCATGATTACGTCCGCAATTACCTTTAAACTTGAAAAAAAGCCAAAAGCATACACAGTTTAATTGCTCGCTAATATGCGCCGAAGACTAAAACGGTAATACTCTGTAAGCACGCAGAAATGATGAAAACCTGATGAGGACTACAATATTCGTCAAAGTTTTTATGACGCCATTTCTTTCTACATGAAAAAAGTCTTTTATTTCCCCTCTCCAAGAGATCATAAACTGGTTCTAGACAGTTTATATTCTCCTGCCCTGCCTTATTGCGAAATTTATGTGATAGCATTGTAATTGGGAGTGACGGTGAAGTGCAAGTAATTGACTGTCAATATAATTTTTATATTTCCTCTTTATTCTCCAGTGAGAATCAAATATAATCAATAAGGCTTGTTTCGACAGAAATTGCATTAATCTCACTTTTCCATGAGAAACTGGCGAGGTTGCACGTTTTTCAGATTTGGCTCATTCTCATTTCTTTTAAAGATTTTTGTCCTTAATTGTCTCATTACTCTAAAAACAGCTCCTTGCCCACGTGTTTTTCTTTTGCATACGGGATATTTCCTCTTAAATCGAAAAAATGGGAAGAGGATGCTAACGGATGGCAATAATTTCCTTCCGAATTGCAAAGATTGCCATCCTGACTGATTGCAACGATTGCCGTCCGGATTGTAAAGATTGTCGTCCGAACTGCAAAGATTGCCATCTGGATTGGAACGTTGCCATCTAAATTGCAACTTACAAGCTTTAAAAATTCTAGGTAAATATTTGAAGATATGACATTGCTCCTTAAATTTCCAATTAGTCTGAATTATCATTTTTTTTCGGTTTACATGCCGTAGTGTTTTTCATAGCTTTTAGAGCAGGCAAGGAGAGAATTTGAAGGTGACTTGTGGCTAAAAATTTTTAGTTTAATCGAAATAAATTGCTTCCTATGATTTTTGAAGATTTTTTTTCTTTTATTCCGCTTGAGAGCAGGTTGTATTTTGAGTAAATAAACTGTTGCCTATTTCCTGTGGAAGATTTCTATTTTAAATTTAATCAAAAGATTGTCATTTAAGTAGCGTTTTCATCCAATTTAGCTCCTATCGAATATGACATGTACACTACGCAGAAATCGTTTCACTGCACTGCATTTTCTCAGACAAGAAACTTCATCATCGTTTCATTTGCCCGTATGATGTTTTATTCATGATTTAATATTCATAGCTCCAAATTTCCCCTCATTGTTATGATAACCCGGTAAGGTTAGTGTAAAGAGTGTTTGCACCGCTGCAATTGCTGTTATTGTCGCGTGTGATTTCTATTTGACTTGTAAGGTAAACGTGTCGTCACAGGAAGCAATCCCATCTGAAATGAGATATTCCATTGGTTGTCTCATCAAATGCTTACAGGAATTAGGGACGAGGGTTCAATGTTTAATAACCACGCTAACAGATTAATGGCGGGTGAAGTGGAACACGAAATGAACTGAGCGTAACCTAACGTCCTATACTGCACCATCCAGTATTGAGGATCGCCGTGAAATGTATTCAGAAAAAGGACAAAAAGATTTTCGGAGAAATCAGGATATAATTTGAAATATTCAAAGTTGTTGTGACCTTCTGGGAGCGTCCTATTCACGTGAGATTTAATTTTTGACAGATTCGTAGATCTTTAACCGTTGATATTTTCAGTTGGAAATGTCACAAAAGTTTCGCACCATCAGCAACGCAGTAACTGCGGGAAGGAAGTTGAATGATTTGGCTAAAAATCACAGAAACGTTACTTTATATATGGATCCCGATGGAACAACACATATTGTAACCTACACAGAAGAGGAAACGGTAAGATAACACAATTAGAGTTTAATTTGGCTCTCATTTCCTCGTATATCGTGGTTTTGCTTTAAACAAGCGATGACACCCTTGAAAGCACGAAGGGAGCGTTGCTGAAGTCGTACGAGCATTGCCACTGAAGCTCATCGGTAACGTTACATAAGCTCTCTCCGCAACAGTGTATAGTATTAAAACTTAGGCCACCCTAAGAATTCCATCTATGTGTTTTAAAGTTTGAAATTACGGATTTGTTTTCTCACATAACGGTGAAGTTGTTCAGGTTATCAGCCAGACGAGGTTTTTGGATTGCGTTACTCTTTGATATAGGAGT